ACCCTAAACCCCAAACTCTAAACCCTAAACCCTAAACCCTAGGTTCTCAGCGCTGGAGATGAGCGTTTTGCTGCTGAGGATATCATCTGTTTGAGCTCCACCAACTCTGATGTTGCTGCTCTGGGGGCTGCTGCTGTGTCTGCTATTGCTGCTGCTGCTGCTGCTGCTGCTGCTGCAGCAACGGCAGCAGCTGAAGTGCTGCCTTGGGCCAGGCGAGAGTCTCCGAGGCGGCTGAGGGTTTACTGGAGGGATACGTTTACGAAACAACCGCTAGATATGCAGGTACAAACCCTAAACCCTAAACCCTAAACCCTAAACCCAAAACCCTAAACGTTTAGGAGTAAACCCTCCATCGATTCCATGTTTCTCTCTCCCAGCACGTGCTTTGTGCTTCTCTTTCATTGGCGCTTTTGTTGTTGTTGTTGTTGTTGTTGTTGTTGTTGTTGTTGCTGCTGCTGCTGCTGCTGCTGCTGCAGCTGCTAGCTGCTCTGCTGCAGGATGCTGCCTCTGCTGCTGGCAGAGCCTTCGGCTGTTTGCTGCAGCGGGAGCAGCTGCATGCAGTCTTTTGTCCTGGGCAGGCAGTGCCACTCTGCAAAGGTCAGCAGCAGTAGCAGCCGCAACAACAGCAGCAGCAGCAACAGCAGCAGCAACAGCAGCAGCAGCAGATATTGTTGTGATTGCTGCTGCTGCAGATTTACTAATAGCCGTGCCTCTTGTGTTGTTTCCCCTGGTGTTGAAACAATTCTTGTTACTAATATTCTGCTTGCTGCTGCTGCTGCTGCTGCTGCCGCTGCTGCTACTGCTACTGCTGCTACTGCTGCTGCTACCGAGTTCCTAGGACCGTTGCTGCTGTTACCTTTGCTGCTGCTCCTGCGACCGGTCTTTCAAGTTGCTGCGGCTGCTGTTGCTGCTGCTGGCGCTGCATCCGGCTCCCAGAATTTTATTAGATGCAATTTAGCTTTAAATCCGCTCCTAGAGGTATTCAGGCTGCTGCTGCTGCTGCTGATGCTGCTGCTGCTGCTGCTGCTATGTCTGCAGCATATCCTGGGGTTCTGCTGTGCAGCGAATTGCTGCTGGAGATTTTGGCGCCTCCTTTGCTGCGCCCTCTGCGGGGTGTTGCTGCTGCTGCTGCCGCTGCAGCAGCAGCAGCAGCAGCAGGGGGCGGCTGCAGCATCCACGTGCCTGCAGCAACGCCGCTCAGCGCTGCTGCCCCTGCCGCAGCAGCAGGAGCAGCAGCAGCAGGAGCAGCAGCAGGAGCAGCAGCAGATGTTGAAAGCATCCTGACAGCAATACACTCTCTTTACCGGGGGGTTTGCTCTTTGTGGCTCTGCAGCAACTGCTGCTGCTGCTACTATGGGGGCCCCTGTGCCTATGAGCCTCAGAGCAGCAGCAGCAGCAGCAGCAGCAGCAGCAGTGCGCCAACGCCAACACGGCAGCAACGCAGCAGCAAGAAAAGCTCACGCAACATTAACAGCTGCTGCTGCGGCGGCAGCAGGGGAAGTCGTGGAGGTCTAAGCAGCAGCAGCTGCCGCAGCAGCGGCTGCAGCAGCTGCTGCAGCAGCAGCAGCTACAGCAACAGCAGCAGCAGAGCAGCAGCAGCAACCACACCCGGCAGGGCTGGTGGGAGCGAGAGCGAAGCGAGTACTGTTTTTGAAGGCAGCAGCAGCTCTATAGACAGGGGCAACAGCAACAGCAGCAGGACCAGCAGCAGCAGCAGCAACAGCAGCAACAGCAGCAGCAGCAACAGCAGCGACAGCAGCGACTGCAGCGTGAACAGCGACAGCATGGGCCGGGCCCGCCTGTTCTCGCTGGGGCGCCCTGCGCCCAAGCACAGCAGCAGCAGCGCCGCCGCCGCCGCCGCCGCAGCAGCAGCAGCAGCAGCAGCAACTTCCAGCTGCAGCGCCACCTGCAGCAGCACGCTGCGGCTTCCCTGCCCCCACGACGACTCTTGGCTTATCGACGCAGTGTCTATACACCTTGCTGCTGAAGTGCTCTCAACCCCCAAGGTCCAAACCCTAAACCCTAAACCCTAAACCCTAAACCCTAATCCCTAATCCCTAATTACTCTGAAGCAGCAAAGTTTGATCTCGCGTGTAGCGAGTGATATTGCTGCTGCGGCTTATGGAACGCCCTCCACTCTGAAGATGTTAGGGTTTAGGGTTTAGGGTTTAGGGTTTAGGGTGTAGGGTTTAGGGTTAAGGTGGAGGATCCAAGGTGTGCCAATTTGCTGCAGCGCGACGCCTTCCTGCGGCGGCTGCTGCAGCTAAGGTGCATGCAGCGGCTCCTGCTGCTGCAAGGGGCGGCACCGCTTGCTTCAAGCAGCAGCAGCAGCAGCAGCAGCAGCAGCAACAGCAGCAACAGCGACGGTAGCGACGGAAGCCACATCAGCAAGCCTGCCAGCCCGCGGGCACGTGCTGCTGCTGCTGCTGCTGCTGTCGAGGAATTCGTAGAGAAGCAGCAAAGCCAGCGGCAGCAGCAGCAGCAGAAAGAGCAGCATACTCTGCAACTGCCGCTGCAGCAAGGAAGCAGCAGCACGGGCTTAGTGGGAGGCCAGAAGCAGCAGAAGCAAGAACCACAGGAGAAGCAGCAGCAGCAGCAGCAGCATTCGCCTTTTGAGAGTACTGACTTTTTGGAAGAAGAAAATGCAGCACAGAGCCCAGCAGCAGCAGCAGCAGCAGCGGCAGCAGCAACAGCAGCAGCAGCAGCAGCAGCAGTAACCCGACATAGCAGCAGACAACAGCGCGGCCGGAGAATGTTGAGACCCAGCCGCCGCTTGCTGCTGCTGCTGCAGCAGGCAGCAGCAGAAGACTGGAGGTGGCTGCATGCAGAAGATGAGCAGAAGCAGCAGCAGCAGCAGCAGCAGCAGCAGCCAATGACAAGCAGCAGCAGCAACAACAGCAACGCGCTCATCTGGCTGTGGTTCCACAGCCAAATTAAGCAGTGGGCCTACAGGGCGGACCAGAAAGTGAGGGTTTAGGGTTTAGGGTTTAGGGTTTAGGGTTCGGGCTTCAAGACTTTGGGTTTAGGTTCTAGGGTTTAGGGTTTAGGGTTTAGGGTTTACGGTATGCAGGTGTCCAGTCACCCCGTCTGCATACAGCGCAGGAGCGACACCAGCGGCAGCAGGCAGCAGCAGCAGCAGCAGCAGCTGCTGCTGCTGCAGCGGGCCTTGCTGTGGGCAAAAGCAGCAGCACTGCTGCGGCAGCACCGCATGGTTTATGGAATTTCAAAGTATCTAAAGGTTTGTTCCACTGGCTGCTGCTGCTGCTGCTGCTGCTGCGATTCCTGCTGCGGCGCCTTCTGAAACTGCAGCAGCAGTAGCAGCAGCAGCAGCAGCAGCTGCTGCTGCTGCTCCTCAGTGTGCTCTGGCGGCCTGCACTGCTGCTGTTGCTGATGCTGCTTCAGCTGCGCATTATACGACCGCCACCATTGTTTTCACCTTTTGGTGCTACTGCTGCTGCTGCTGC